GCTACGTACCGTGAAATTGTTATTTATTCGAGGAGGGATCGATCAGAACGGTGCAACAATAAGCGTTTATCGGTGTTAAACGATCTATGCAACTATGTGAAACTTCGTGGAATCAAAGAGAAGGGAAAATATTTCAATACGTCACGAGAAACGGTTTAAGGGAGTTCACCCAGTTTCTTCGATCGGCACCCTTCCCGATGGCGATTATTTATCTCCAGACTTATCAGTTGAACGAAGATCATTCGATATCGAAAGAGGTTGATAAAAATATTCACTCGTTCTCGTTCCGCGACTTAGAAATCGATCCTTCGATTTCTGGGCTACCTGTAACCCCATAACCCATGGAACTTTCCAGACGCGTGGAATAGTTCTAGAACTAGGGATTCGATTTTCTCGCAAAAGCGAAAGAATTTCAAGCGATTTGTATCGCCTTATCAAAAGTTCCACAGCGAAACCACTCCCAGATAAAGTTGAAGATACGATAAGAGATTACCGACGACCGGTCACTCATCGCCCACCCTTGGCTAACTGAGACAGCGTGGTTCGATTGAAGAACCAGGGTGCCGGTGCACACGGTCACACTGCACTGTGTCACGATGCGCAAAGAGGCCACGTCAATGATCGTTACGCTCTCAAGAGGAAGAGACAGCGAGGTAGAAGAAAGCGGGTACCGAACGAAATCCACCCTGAGGAAAATCAAATAAAAATGACGAAAGAAATGATGTGCAACGAAGCCAATTTACGAATAAAAGAAGAGCAAAGATCGGAAGAAAAATCCCATCGCACCAGTGGCTACCAGTAGCGATAGCTAATTATCACGGATACCATCATCGACCAGGAAGAATCCGGCACAACTGCACCTTGCGGTGACCATCATAGGACACCTCGAAGAATCTCTCGATCACTTTGACCACCGAGTCTCGGAACGAACTAGGTCTCCAGAGATTCTTCCAGAGGAACGTATACCCCAGGAGTGTCCTTATCGAGCGATGCAGAGGCGTAGCACGCTAGTCGGATCTTTACCTGCTCGGTACAGACGCATAAGTCGTGATTTGCGACCGTGGCTGCAGCTGCTGATGCTCTTTGTGTCCCTACACGTCTTCCTCGAGACTCACGCCTAGGCCGGCAGAGTTTGGATCGAGGAAGAGAATCCGGCCGGTTCCTCTGGGTCTTTATTTATATTTTCAAATTATTATTATTCGAACGAGTCGCTGATCGCGGCCTACGGACTTTTTAAAACTCGGCACGTTACGGACACGACGGATTGCGTACGGTACGGCTGTGGACGAGCGACTCTCTGCCGGCTGCCGTAACTGGAGGTCTCCTCTTGGTCGTGCGTGGCCCTCGGGTCCCGGATCGGCCTACCCCGCGGCTCGCCGCTCGCGCAAGCGTCCTCAGCGCGAGGATACGCCGTATATTGATCGGCACTTGGCCCGATCCGGACGTAAAGAACGTCGACGTGGAATTTCTGGTTACGGTTAGCGCACGGACTTCGGGCAAGGTCAGACTTGACCGGTCTCGCGGCACGAGCACTGGCGCACGCTGCGCCAGGATCCTACTATCCGCTCGCACGTCCACCGAAAGGTGCACCAGGTGTGGGTTAGGTCGGGATTAAGGTAGATCCAAGTTTCGTTGAAGTATCCTGGAAATCATTGCAGAGGTTACTAGTGATTAGTATATAGAAACCATTATGGGTGCCCGTGTGCTCCTGGAGGGTGTCTATGGATGATGAAGATTGCCCAGGTCGTGGGATTCCGTGGGTGTAGAGGTTTTGTAATTTTTCATTCTGGAGAACTTAGATAGAGGGTGGTGATAGTCTTCTCTTCTTTAGAACTAACTGGAGTATCAAATGAAAATTGATCGAGTGAAGTCTGATTTTGATAATCTTTCGTTTCGAGGACCTGTGTGTACCGCTTTAATTTCGTAGAACTAACTGGAACCGTCTTATGCGTCGGTATGCTCCTCTCATTAAGCAGAAGATTGAGTAGGCCGGAACGAACGATGATAGAATCATTTTATCAGAACGGTGGACCGAGATTTAGATCAGGTTGCAGCAGTCTTCCGAGGGTCCGAGTTCCGAGGATCAATTCACCCGTCGTTTCCTTTGAAACTCTCGATGATCGATAACACGTTTAGAGACTATGTTCCTTTCTGTATCGTACTTGAGGAAAACAGCACTACGAAGTGATTTTTAAACGATGCACGGAGGTTTCAGCATTTCATTAAGAAAGAATCGATTAGATCGTTCGAACGATACCACGTTTTTTCTAATGGATGAGATGTTAGATTAGATTCTGCCACAAGGACAGCTGTATAGTGCGATCTTGTTCTCGAGTAAAGTGGAATGATAAATGGAACGACTTGATTCGAGTATAATGTACTACTACACGTGGAATTTGTATTGTGCTGGTGTGCAGCAACGATTCTCTAGGTAAGCCTAATTACCGCGTACACGATGGATCTTCTTCCTCGTAGAAGGAAATGTTAATTACCGACATGTTGTTAGACACAAAATTGCCTGACACATTGTATGCGGAAGTTTATGCAAACTTGCTCGTTTTATTCGCCACGTTTCTCAGATTTTCTGTGCTATACTGATTTATTCCATGCAGCTCAGGATTTCTTAATTATCTGCAATCTACTGATTGCAATCTCGAGTGGGTAGATCATGAAAGATGATAATTGTATATTTTTGTTAAAATGAAAAATAACGTTGGTCAGGTGAAATTTTGTTCGAAAACGTGTCAGGTTTTGTAGAAAAATATATGTTACGAGTGTTTCACAAACTGGAACAATAATCTGGATATTTGATCAAGTGAGTCAGATTAAATAAATTTATAGAATAAAAAATTTCCACACTGTCTTGATCACAGAATGAACTCGTTAAGTAGCTATTAAGATTTCATTATGAGAATGTATGGAGGATTGTATTTCAGTGATCCTAGCGATAGAAACACCCTCTTGCGTAGAACGAAATAGTTGTTCCTCGTATTGATCGAAGGAACAGTCTGATCAGGACTAATGTGCTCTGTCAACCGACCGATCGCGTCCTTGTCAACATTCGCAATACGGAAATGCATTGTACTCTGTTGAATAAACAGCCCGTTTATTCTTGCTCTTTGTTGCGATTTGAATCGCATTTATCATGGAAAAATGTATACACTTTTCATAGAAAGTTATTTAATTCAACACCCTCTGCTTAAAGAACGTAACATCAAATAAATGAAGTGGTGGTGAATGTGTTAATTACTAAAGGAATTTTTCTGATTTTCAATTTCCTATTTGCCAATTTTTCAGGTGGCAATATTTAAGCTTTCAATTTTTTAATCTCCCAAATGCCAATTTCAAATATTCCAATTTCCCCATTTCTCAAATGCCAATTTTCCCAGATACCAATTTTTCAATTTTCCAAGTAAACCATTTCGGTGCCCCCGAAAAAGGGGGGCAGTTCGCGTTATCTCACAGGGTAAACGGGGTTCGCGTTATCTTTAAAGAAGCATTGTTATTACCGAGTCAAGTTTAATGTCAATGGCACGATGAAAATATCGTCGGTTCGCGCGCAACAGATCACGTTTATGCATTTTAGGGGGGTTATTATCTGGAGAGCCAGGCACGAATCGTATGCATTATGCATTCTCTAGCCAGGATCGATCTTTTATGGCGTGCTGATACCTTTCGGGCAAGGCTAGATCGTACGCGATGCATCGTGAAAAAGACATATTGCGAGTGAGACAGATTTAACCCGATAACACTGCATGCGACTGTTTATGCAAATGTTGCTGCACTCCTTTCGTGCTCAAGTGTGATACGTTACCCGAAACGTTACACGTGTTACGCATTGATGATACAATATTTAACAGTATCGAAAAAATATTCTTGATATCATAGAAAATATAGAAGAGAAAAAGTTCTACTTCTTTTATACCCAACTTTATATAAACATTGATCAGTAATTCTTTCCTTTTGTTTTTTTAAAAGAAAAATATCTAAAATAAAATATATACGTACTAATCGATCCATGCGACTCAACAATTTCGAGTATCCCCGAAAATGACGCAATGAATCGCAACTCTAGGCTAACTTCACCGTTCACACGGAACTTCCGGTGCGCGGTACTTATATGTGAACTATTTTTGCACCGTTTACTACAATCTGATTGCAAGGTTACACTTTCTGTTTCCTTTTCTGGAACTAGGAACTTCTCAATTAAATTATTAATAAAACCAAAGAAGAGAGTGATTAAATCTCTGATTTAATAAAAGACGTAACCTAAAATTGATCATCTAATCGCGGACCGTTTGTGAAACGGCGAGTATAAGCAGACGATTAAGATGTATTATTTTGCATCGCTATCGAGCTGCTGCTATGCATGCTTAAGGGTCAGAGAGCGGGCCATCTTAAGCCACACGATAAATGGAAAAAATAAGAGAGTATGCGAAGGGAGCGAAAGGTCGGATTACACGAGACTCTTCGAAGAATCTCTGTTTCGAAATCGAACAGTTTCATCTTCACGATGATGGAAGATTCTAACAAGATACAACACGTGTTCCGGCGCAGAGATTTTAATTTACAAGTTTTGTTAAAAGCTTATAGAGAGAAAATTTTTATTTTGAATTCGAGGATTGATGTACTTTCGAATGGTAAAATATTTGCGAGAAAGTAAGGTTGAATCGCTAATTAAATACTAGTTCCTACTGGAGCCGGGTCAATGGATCGAAACGTAAATATGTCGTATGCACTGCGAGAAAGCTACACGATTCGAATTACGAGTTAACCTTTTGCGTCTTACGCCAAATCAATTTCGTTGCGTTTCAATTCGATTTCGAAACAAGTCGCGATAACGATTGTTTGTAACAACGTAAATAAATGAATAAATTGAATCGTAACTAATTCGATAATCGAGAGAAACGACGCAAATTGGTTATCTAAGAATTAATTATTTGAATTTTAAATTATTTTGTTTTTAAAATTTTCTTAACAACAAATTGTATATACATTAAAAATCATTATGAATAAATTGTTTTCTTAAATAGTTTTTGTTTTCCGTGAGCGTAAGTACCACTTCCGGTTACCCGGGAAAAATGAAAATAGAAAGTTTCGTTGATCATGGCTACTAGTTCGATTACAGGTTAAGTTTGCTAGATAACACGAGCAGGTGCGATCTGCTTAACATATATAACTATTCAAGGTTGTTATTAATTATTGAAGCATTAAATGACAGGAATAAATAATATAAATAAAAAAAGATGGGTGGAATGTAATTTCGAAATAAGATAACATAAATGTTTAATTAATCAATATTTAACGCAATCTGTGAAACACATTTAAAAACGAAAAAAATTTTCATCATTCAATTCTGCTGACACAAATATGCTAATTCAACAAAACAATTTACATTTCTATTCTATTTTAAGAAACACTCAATCCACGCTCCAATTGATTCGGTCCGTAAGCATTTGATGTAACAACTTCCTTTTGAAAAATAAGATAAATGTACAAAGCTGATGATTCGCATACAAATAACACATCACCAGGCAAGTCGATATAATAACAATATTGCGTATAATCGAAATTCGATAGTCGACGGATGTGGATCTATTCATTTTATCGATAATTTAAATGGATGCCAGTCGATCAATTTAAAGAAACGACTTTTTCTCGACGAAACAATCGATTTATTGTAATTACTAATCGATAAATGACGTTGCATTTTACACGAAACTCGGAAATTACCGTCAAACCCGATTTTTTTAATTCCTACTTATGAAACATTTTAATAAACTCTCACTGCCATTGAATAAAATGTTAATATCGTTACCTCGATTCGATCGTTTCTACATTATATGTGGCTTCATTTCACTTATTTTCCATAATCGCCGGGAAAAAAAGCATGATTCATCGAAACATCACATTACATGAACGTTATCGCAATCTCGCGGTTCACTCGGCCGACAAAGCAGCCGTTCTCGATTCGTTCAATAATTCGAAAAGCAATATCGATCCATCGTTACGTAGCGGAAATAGAAGCAACGAACGAAGTAACATGGAAAAGAGAAAGGGAAACGTAACATACCAATGAAGGAACGTAAATGCGTGAAAAGATGAAGAAAATGTTCATTTCCATAGAAATGAGCCGCTCGTGGATCGTGTATGTTCTCGTGTCCAAAATGGCTGGTCGCTAAAATTAGCGTCGGAAGCAACCAAATGATACCAGATAGGACGTCGCCGTCGCTACCATGCCCTGGTTCCACTCACCTTGGCGTCGAAGAAAAGTCATATAAAATGGTATCGCCCTGCTGGACGGCCGCCTTCTAGCGTGAAAATTGAACGGGTGTTCGTGGGTGTATCGAGACAGATGGATCGCCCTGTCGGGTGCACCCCAGTGTCTCGTTTTACGTCTTTCTACGATGTCGTCCTACAAACGTCGGTCGAGAAATCGGTTGATCGCGTCGACGTGACACCGTGCCGATGCTTCAGCTTCCTTGCTGATTCTTCAGCTCGATGACAAGTATCCCTGTCGTCGAATTACTATTTTCTTCCAAATTCTCTCGCTTTACGTGCTGTACGTAACGTTTTCAGCTTGCGACGTGCACACGAAACGTTCCGGCTTCTGAGACGGCTACTGCCTGAATACAACTGCATATGCTCGAAGAAACCAGGGTCGTAAACATGACTTGCGACTCCCTGCGATGATAGCGACGCCCCTAACTTTTTAGAGTGGTCTTTTTTTGCTAAATCGTCACGTGACTCAACGATATCACTGACGATGATGCAATGTAATTTTTGCGATTCGTTACAACGATAAGAATTTTATTAATACTTATCACTGAAATATTATCTTACAACTGTAAACGTGTACAAATTTATACAGAATAAAAAGGCAATTGAGAAAAATTTGTGTTCGTTACTTTCAGTTTGTCTAAAAAAAAAACGTAGCATAGTTGTCTTATCTAATCATAGATTTATAGTTTATGATTAAATAAAACGTTGCCAAGGTAAAATACTGTGCAACATAAAAATGAATTAACTCGAAGATATATATACATTTTTCCTTTTACACATTCTGGCGCAATATTAACAGTAATGATTAACACTAGTATTGCGACAATTGTGTAACTGGTAACCTAACCTTCCAGTCAGTGCAATGCAATGATCCGAACATAACCTTAGTGTTCAAAAGTAGTTCCACACTGTTCCACACGTGAGGTCGTGCTACAGTTCCCGTCATATGTATATATTTCTTATATTAAATATAAATAGCAATATTCATGATAGAAGTATAATTTAAAAATGACTTCTCCATTCACTTGTATCACATGCCGTGTCGCGTTTAAAGATTTAGAAATACAAAGGCAGCATTATAAATCAGACTGGCACAGATATAATCTGAAAAGAAAAGTAGCTGACATACCTCCTGTTACTGTAGAAGAATTTCAAAAAAGAGTGATCGCACAGAGGGCTAAAGATGATCAGCAAAAAGAAGAAGGAACAACAAGCTGTAAGATATGCAGAAAAAAAATGTTCAATACAAAAAACCAATATGAAAATCATTTACTCTCAAAGAAGCACAAGGAAAAATATGCAAAGCAGAATATGTCTTCTGAAAATGCGAATGAAATAGTAGATACAGATGCTGATGCTAGTCTTCCACCTAATTCTGTGATTAACAAAGATACAAATGAAGAAAGTTCTAGCAGCACCAGTAAACAATCAATTAAAGATATGGAAGTAGATTCTGATATTGAGTCTGTAGATTCTGATGAATGGGTTGAAGACACTGAGAATCCAGTAACAAATAATAATTGCTTGTTTTGCAATCATCATAGTAGATCTTTGATCCGGAATCTGAGACATATGACCATTGCACATTCATTTTTTGTGCCAGATCCTGAGTATTGCACTAATATTAAAGGATTACTTATATATCTTGGAGAAAAGATTTTTGCAGGATACATGTGCATTTGGTGTAATGATACAGGTAAGCACATTTATTATTTTATGCTTATATGACAATTAGCAAATAAATCACATGTATTTCATGAATTAACAGGAAGAAACTTTCAAAGTGCTGTAGCTGCTAGAGCACACATGATTGACAAAGGTCATTGTAAGATGTTACATGAAGGAGATGCACTCTTAGAATATGCAGAATTTTATGATTATTCTTCAAGCTATCCTGATGCAGAAACTGCTGATCCAAATGCAGAAGTTGAAATACCAGAATTAGATGATAATGATTTCCAACTTGTGTTACCATCAGGAAATGTTATTGGTCATAGATCTTTGCTAAGATATTATAAGCAGAACTTGAATCCAAACAGAGCACTTGCAATCTCAAAGAGTAAAAAATTACACAAAGTATTATCACAATATAAAGCCCTTGGATGGACAGAAACACAGAGAGAAGTTGTTATAAAGAAAGTCAGAGATATCAGATATATGCAAAGGATACAGGCCAAGTACTCTACGCAATTGCAGTTCAAGGCAAATAAATTACAGAAACACTTTAGACCTCAAGTTAATTTCTAGATATTATTATGTGTATTAATATTGTTGCAAGACTGCATTCCTTCTTAAATCTTTATGAGAAATTAATTGTTAGATATGCTTATTGTATCGCATATTTATACATTTATTGTTCAAATAAAATTGTACTTATTTAAGAATCCACGTTTAATATGATTTAAATATGAAATCTGTTAGAAGGACATATGTTATGAGGCTTTAGTCATTATAAATTGTAATATTTATTTGATGGATAGTTTTACAAAATAAGTTGTAATATATTTTCATAATATGTGACACCAACAAAAATAATATTTCTTGTAACTTTTACGTTATACTCATATGGACCCATCACCGAGTAATTCCTGTAGCCATAAGCTAATTCATCGTTTTCGATAAATCGTTATACACGGGGTAAGAAACGATCCGTGTTTCTGCGCTTTTCTGACGGCTATAAAAAAACATTGTACACAATCGAAAACGTCAAAAATTGTGTACCATGCGTGTATACGATATACTTTCAATTTACCACCAGCAAACTGTAGAATCTATATAAGAATTAACAAATGTCAATGTACAACATTTGACACATGATTTTTATTTTCCATCACATTTCTATTGTCGAACGATATACGCTGTTATTCCCTTATGACATACACGAAGACATAATTTTTTTTTTTTTTATCACGTTAACCAGAGCAACTGACTTCGATAATTCATTTTGAATCAACAAATTGCAGAACAAATGTCCAATGAACGAAACGTTAAATAGATCTTCGTTCTTGCATTTGTCGACTCGAATGTTTTAATAAAGATACGTTATTTGGAACACAGATAATGGGCGGTGACCGATGTTTCGAATTTGTAATACTTTTTAAGAGAAACACGCGGCCCACCCTCTATAGATACAAGTACTTTGTAAATGCATCTTTAAGAGAAACATACACATTAGAGACCTGTTATTGTCACACAACGATACACATAGTATACACTACTCTTCATTCGTAAAATTCTTTTGTTTACCGAAGATTTATAACATTAAATTTCGTTTTGTTCTGTAATTTAATTTAATATTTTTACCATCAGCTTTAGAGCTTGATGGGGTGGAGCCGGTCTGATCGATTCATCAAGATCTGAGTACAAAATTTCAGCCTCCACCTGAAAACCATGTTTCAAGCAAACTTTCTGCGAATACATTCCCGTTGCGTCGGCCTTGAACACCTGTAAATACATTAATCATTTAAATAAATCGTTTAAGGATAATTGGTTTTACACCCAAACGTTTACATACAATTCGTACGAAGTACACTGCGTGCAAAAATACCTCTCGAGAAAGTAACGAGTGCATTGAAATTACACCTTGATAAACGAAAATCATCCCATGCATATTAATCGAAGAACATGCTGAAACAAAAACAAAATGTGAACTTCGAGTGGTCACATTTATTCCAATATATCGTGCTACACATAGAATCGTATGCTGTCAAAGAAATAATTTATTTTGTAATTTTATATGTAAAATATTATTTTGAATACACATATATGTTTGCAAATTATAATTGAAATTTCAAAATGTGCTGCACAATTAAAATAAGCTTCCATGTACGCCCTAGGGCGTAGCTAGGAGATGATGAACGATAGAAATATCTTATGCATGCTTCAACATTTATAATATAGAATGAATCGTTAAATATTTTTTTAAAATTTCATGATTACGATCAGATTACCTTAAAGCCGGCATTTCTTGCTATTTCTATACTATCTGCCATTAGAACGTTCGCCAAACCCCTCCCACGGAAGTTCTCGTCCACGCTGAGGATTCGACACTCGAACAGCTCTTCGACATTGTATTTGGAAAAGAGATTAATTTTCTCGTTAACTTTGTAAAGAAGACCGAAAATTGTTTTGAATTTTTCGTCGTTCAATTCGGCGAGTCGACGTTCAGCCTCTTCCCGTTCTCCTTTCTTCAGGATACCATTCAAAGCCATACCAGCTATCTGGTGGGACAGTTCTTATGATCGACAATGAACTTAATCTTCAAGGTCCATAAATCATAAAAAAATATTCGCTCGTCGATAAAGAGTTAACAGTATACAAGATAAATTTCTTGAAGAGAAAAAATAAAATAATTTTGATTTTCTTCGATTCAACCTACCGTCCCATTTTGATCCACCAGCATCCTCGAGTATCCCTGTTTCAAAGTCAGCTGGCAGTGTCTTTCCAGCTCGAACTGGCTCTCCCCTTTCTCACATAGTCCTACCGCGTGATTCAATGGTTCATCAGAAAAGAAATTCCATTTCAAATGATGTATCGCATCCTCGAAGCGATTTTCTGGAACTTTCACAACTGTTAAATGATCAGACGACATCTTTGGGATGGTCACGGCACGAATTTTCCGCGCACTGAAAGGATTTTCCACGCGCGCACCACCCTTAGTAGGGTGAGTTGGCTCATATGGGAAAAGTTCCACATATTGATTGACCCAGTTCAAGAAATTTACTAGCTACAATTATGTGTTCTTCTTAATTATTCCCATCGCAGGATACGCGATACATGCCCTAATGGTATCTGTAGCTATCACCAGAGACATGAAAACTCATGAACGTGTGGGTGTATCGAAGATGAAATGCATCGGTAAAAAATGAGCATAAATTTATGCTTTGATGGAGAGTAATGATGTATGAACATCATGTAATAAATAGATGTTTTATAATGAAAATAAAGGAATGTAATGTTGTTGGTTCCAGAAGAATATAAGCATTAGATTAAATATATGTATGTACATGTTTATTATTCGTAAATTTTTGCTAAATATTTGATTCTATAATCTCCCACGACGTTACATTTACCGCAAATTATTCGCGTTGAAGGGTACCCTTATTCACAGAGTAATAATACAAGTACTTTTGAGTGCATTTATACACAATACAGTTTCAGCAAATTTCAAATCACTGCACTGATGTGTGTCTAACAGAATGTATTATTAACATCTTTCGATCACTATATAGCACTAATTTTTATATGACGTGTTGCATAAGTAATATAATTAAAAAATATTAGCAACGTCATAACAACCATGTGTTGGTAACATAATATATATTGTCTGACGAATTTCATGAAAGGATTGAACGGTTTTATCATACTTCATTAGATTCGCGCTTTACACATTCGTTCAGAATCAAAACATACTTTTTTAATACTTCAGAGTGTGGAAACAAATTATTTACAGTGTTTAGAATAAAAGGTCATCGTCACCTTCGTCAAGCATATTGGCATAATCCGACTCACGGTCTGCAGCTTTCATTTCAGCTCTAATTACCTCAAGCTGAAAGTAAGTAAAACATTGTTAAAAATTTGGATTATACAATAAATATACCACCTGTTAAATTTCAAATTCTACCTTAGCTTTAGCTATTTTCTTTTTATCTTGAATCTTCTTTAACCGATAGAATTCTTCTCTTTCCAATTCATCCAGTTCTGATATTATATAAGCAAGAGTTCTTTCAATTCTTGGAATGATAACATGTTCAATAGCATTCACACGACGATTCGTGATTTTAATAACTTCATCCAAAGTTACAAAACTTGTCTGTAGAGATGCTAATTCTACTAAAAGCTTGACTGCTTTCTGATAATTCTTCTTCAATTTTGACAATTGTTGACCACCTCTTGCCAAACCTGCTAATTCATAAGTATCTGTGCCATCCTGATATGATTCGAATACTGGAAGATTAACACCAGCTACATTATCTTTCTTGGAACGAATTTTAATCTGTGCCTTTGTCACATCCTGCAGAACTACTTGATTAAAGTCTCCAGTTGCAAATTTTGCTTCGGCTAATGAAAATGCTGCCTCCTTCATTACTTCTCCCATCAAGGTTTTCGTCTAATCATGAAGGAAATATATAGAAACATTATAGCAGCAAGGTATATAACAAGGTATACGGTTTATAAATATACAATCAATATTTATACCTCAATAATTTTACCCAAAATCATCCTAAATCGCATTTGCAATGCATCTGCTTTCTTTTTCAACAAACCATGACCTTTTTGTGCTCCTTGTAAACGAGACTTCATTAACATTTGTGCTCTGGAAAAAGATATATATATGTTAGAATTTCACATTATTTTGAAACCACTTAAGTACTTAATTGTACACGATTATCACAAAGAATTAATTTAATAAAACGGATAAAGAGTATCATAGTTTAAATGGTGAAAAACAAATTAAGGGGTTACACCCATTTGATGAAAACTCCGAATAACCTGGTGAAACTTATAATTTTTATAAAATAAATGAAGAACAAAGTCTAATAACAAGTGAAACGGGTCTGAACAATTTATAGATGAAATACTCACCCCCGAGAGGGGAAAATTGCAAGTTTATCCTTCCCAGACATAGCTATGATCTATCAAGCAGACAGGAATGAGATTGATCAGCTGACTTGCGGGACCGGAAGTTTTAAGATAACTGGCGCAGTACGTAACAGAGCGCGGGATTTTAAAAATACGCCAGGTATATAGAACAATTGAACCAAATGTACCAATATTAACACTACTTATTCCATACGCAACACCCGATTATTAAATTCAAAAAATTATGATTATAAATTCAACACACTAGTAAAATGAAGTAACAGAAATTAAACATAAAATTTTAGTAATACTCCATGGCAGAAAAGAATAAAGCATCCTCCTCCTTTGAAGAAATGAAAACTTGTTTTACACAACGATTAATAAAAGAAGGCCGTTGTTTTTGCATTACTGATAACGAGTCAAAGAACACGTTCAGAATAGAAGTGTCCGCTGTCAATCCGCATAGTCCTTGTGGAAGTTGCTGGCAGCCTGGAATAATAAGAAAAGCTTATGAAGACGTCGTGAAGAGAATGAATATTAGCTGTTTTTAAAAATAGGTTTGTGTATATTTAAATTATATATAATATTAATACTAAATAAATAAAAATTGTTACAGATTCATATCTTTCTCTTTTAATACGTTGCCATTAATTTATTAAAAACATGATTAACACAACAGACATCTCCAAAAATTTTATTTTAAATAAGGCAATTCATGATGCCACAAATATTCTACTTAGACCATACAAACCCCTAATAGTACCAGAATCTTGTACAACTTCAAATAGCTATGACAATAAATGTGAAGTAATCAATCAAATTAAAGAAAAATACATGTCACAATCACAAGATTTCATACTAAAAATGGCAGCAATTGCATGGGACTTTTTAAATATTTTAACCGTGTTTCAAAATAATCTTGCAAGCCAAATTATAGAAGAAGACATGCTGGATAATGAAATTTAAGTTTCTTATTAACTAGTATTAGTGAATGGGTTACTTGGTATTAAACAGAAACCATTCAATAAGATAAAAATATTTTATATATCTTATACTGCAGCTTCTATGGCCAATGTGAATTGACAGCTAATTTAAGAAAAATACGAGTATATTATACCAATGTAATTGATATAAGTATTTTTAATAAAACTATACAAGGAAACTTTGTACAATATTTTATGATACAGTTAACTGTCCAGGTTTTAATACTTGTCTCACAGTCATATTCACTCTAGCTTCTGAAATATAAGTTTTTGCTTTGTTCCAGTCCTCTTGATCCCATTTACAATATTGATTATTATCATTTGCTTCTTCATCATCCCATGGTGCATTGTTAACTGGTAAAATTTTTGGCACTCCATGGTACCTTAAACGCGAGCTTCCAGACATTATTAGTACATCTCCACTTTGCAAATACATAGCATCAGCTTCTTCATCTTGTGTAAGTCCCCCAATTAAAAATACTGCAGTCTGACCAAAACTTATAGAGATCAAAGGTGCATCAGTATCAATTTCAGACTGATCAACATGACCACCTAAGGTAGAGTTCATTCTATAATAATTAACTATTGCTGCTTCAGCTTTAAAATTCATATATCCTAAACTTTGTGCCAAAACTGAAGCCAATAATGACAAATCAGCAGGCATTTCTGTTTTATTTGTTTCAGAATATAATTTTGTTTCCCAATTGTGATGATATCCCAATGTTGCCCATCTTAATTTTGGTATTAATTGTTTAGCTCTTTTAGATTGTCTGCAATAATATGATAAATTTATAGATCACCAATACTATGATTTATATGGATACATCCATATCTTACCCAAAACATACATCCCACCAAAGTTCATCCTCTTTTAAAAGATCATGCGCATCCAAATTTAATTTGGATGGTTTTCTTGAGTAATATTTTAAAGCCTGAATAATCCAATACCGTTGTGCGCTATTGTTAAATGGATTTTTTATAATGATAAGTCCCGGAATATCTACAAATTCAAAAACTTTCCAATCTCTAACTGGTTTTAATCCTACTTCATGTTCAGATTCTGTGTTCAACAATTTTCCTCTAAAACCGATAACCTGAAAAGCATCGAAACGTTTCATTTATGAAATACGTATAAATTCTGCAATTGATTACATACTCTGCTACATTTTGGATTGTTTAAATCGATTACATCTTTCAAGTCGGGAAATGGCTTTCGACTTTTGTAATATTTAAAACTATTTCTGAACATCATTTTCGAATCATGGACGACGCCATTATTGATAATAATGCGCGCGCAAATCAATAGACGTCGCTACTATACCCGTTGGTTGAATCCATGCAATTTGAAAGTAGATTTTAACGCAGATTTCTATGCAAGATACGATTAAATGCTTCACATGTTTGAATAAGAATGTCATTTTGACCCGGTTCACCGTGTATGACAATCGAAAGTATAGACGGTATCGTCGTTAATTGTCGGCCTCGAACTTTTCCTGAATTTTTCATAAAAAAATGTTTCTACGACGCATCTTAACTAACACAAAGGTAAATTGATCAGAGATGAATCTATGATGTGACATGTGACTAAGAGTGTACAATCTACGATTTTACGCCGTAAAAGCAATCGATGAGTGGACACGTAAACAGCGCATTGTGCATTACGATTATTCAATTCACTTACAATTTGCATAATATCATCATCGCAAACGCTAATAGCTAGATACGTATCGAAAAAGTCACAGTTCGAAACGTTTTTTTCTCTCTCTTTGTACCGGTACCGTATGCACACGGTAATGGACTGTGACTAATTTTAGAGCGTAATTTTCGCATAATAACATTGCCGGGAAATCTATGATTTCATAGAGCCGAAGAGAGGCACGCCACCCGCCTTCAAGGTTTTTCGAAAGCTTCGAGCAAATTAATAGCGCGCACCGCGTTAATAATCGTTCATTACCATCGCTTCTATTCTCCATAAATTCCACCCACCCACCCTGGTCGCGAACGATTGTTCGTTTGTGTCCATAAGAACGAACCTTGCTCCAATTAGTAAGTTGAAATCTTAATTTATATTCTTCAATTGCCTGTTTCTTTTATAAGTAAAAAATAAAATCATTTTTTAATTGAAAATAGGGTGAAAATTAACGCGGAAGGGAATAGTCAATATGGCAGTATCTTTTACATGTGAGCAATACCGAAAACGAGGGAAAGGGATGGAAAGTATGGACATAGGTACTCTAACACTACTCAAATGCCGGCACATTAAGGGAGCGCGTATTCTCTGACAGTTTCATGTCAACAAATGTCGTGCCCGCGAGTCGCGCCCAGTCGTAAGCCAGGCCTGCACCAGTACTCGCGGCGTATTCGCGAGATAGACCAATCATGGATCACTGCCACGCCACTGTCAGCCAATCGCATCCGTTCCCAGTGACGACAGTTGCTAAAAATAGCCCGTATATATCTAGGCCGGTCGCAACCGCGAATTATCCACAGTCGTGCGCCGGCAGCCGACGGAGGTGGACGGTGTAGGGCGTATCGGGACGCTGTGTTGTTGTTCGCAACTAAAAAGGTAGGACCCCCGTACACGCACCTAAAACAACCGTCTTCTCTACACGTGATAAAGCTCTTTGTAGGTCGAGTCGCTATTCTTGTAATATAGTTCGAGGGTGTATTAAAGGGTATCGAGGTTATAACAGGAATTTCATTAGAACCCTTTCGTAGATTAACTTGTCAAGTACCTTCAGACAAATACTAGTTTAGATTACGAACTTTGTGACACTTCTTTATTGATTTTTGGTAATACGGTCGTTTGTATCATTTTTATATTAATTACTTTCACGAATACAACTACTTTTGATAGATTATCGATTAATACAGATGTCAAAAGTATCGATAATAGTTTGTACAATCGAATATCTCGAAAATCGAGTTCGCGGTTATTCAAGGTCATGCGACCAACCGAGTGGAGCTTTATTACGAATATGTTGCATTATTACGGCAAGAATCGAGAGAAGAATATGTTAAATGCGCCGTTACTTCACTAAATGTGTACATTGTCCGATAAAACGACACTTGTCTCTCGATTTTTGTTACATTTTTATCATTTTTTCTTCTCCATCGACAAAACAGTTATATTTTATTTTTTCTATTTATCTCGCATTCGATTTAACGTAGCGTGAAAAATCCCGCTATCGTTCGTGTATCGAATGTGTTTTCTTAAATATGAAGTTAGCCATAGGATTGAGCATCGGTTACCGCGTTCACGCGATAAGAGGTGCAGCAAAGTTGTCGAAATAAAAATTCACGAAAAATCTTTTCCCTTTTTACCAATTTGCTGCTATGTAAAATAGTAGTTGCTCCTCGAATGGTTCATGACACCTGAGGATGTCACAAAGAGCATTCGGTTGCAAGTGGGGAACCTTAAATATAGCGAAACAGAACATTGGCAACATTGTCACGGATCTAGTAAAAGACTATATAGCATCCTCACACGGTACCAATGTTGTTGATTGCACAATGCTGAACATTTAAAACTAAACACTCGTGTTCTTTACATGCATTTTATCCTTGTAAACTTTCGAGTACAATGCAACGTGTAAGGTTAATTCTGCGTATGTGTATACGAACGAAAGTATAATGTTTATATTGGCATGTAAAGTGGAGTTAAGTAGGATCACAAATAACCGTAATCATAAAACCTCATATTACGGTGGTTTAAACGTGGAGTATGTTTATTATGAACGACTTAATGTTTACTAGAAATGCGGTGGAAAAATAAACTATTCGCGTGGGAACGTAATAGTATTCGATTGAACTTTTTTGGAAATTCATTTCCTTCCTCGTAATGATAAAAAAAATATTACCGACGTTGTTTATCGACGATGGTAAATCTCGAAGTGAACATTGGTCCCAGGGTTTACGATACGATCTATCGATTCTATAGTTCGCGGCTGAATATGAATATGAATTGATTTTGAAAACATGTCTTCCTTGTCAATTCCCGATTCGTATGTCGATAAATAGTTACCAACGATTCCTTGTTACCTATGTAGCTATGTTATCGTTGCGACAACAATTATATGTTTGCGTTGGGATGCAATAATCAATATACATAATTGGTTAAAAATAAACGCTGCACAAACATTTGGCGTTTAATTAAAATTTTGTTCAACTGAAATATGATTTTCTAATTAAATTATTGGAATTTTATTTTATTCGATTTTCAAACGCCTCATATTTATTATTATTAAAAAAACAATTGCAAGAGTGCATCAGGCATAAGTGCTTATTTAAAATTCTTTATCATTCGCCACTGTACTTTAGTTCGAAAGTAATTGAATAAGAAGCGAAGGAGAATTATGCAAATAATTTTCGAAACAAATTTCATCGTCGAAAATTGAATATACAGAGTGAGAGAAAAAGAGATTCGCGAGATCATGAAGCTTAAATGTTTACTTTCATTTGTAAACTTCCTCCGCGGCTGATAACCATTATACAATAATAATCTTATCTTTGCATTCGCTATGCAAACGTGCCAATCTTCTCAAGGTGCAGTCCCGCTGGGTGTGATAATTAGTTGCAAGGTTGGACAACGTAACATCGGCATACCTTTTCGTACATTGCTATCTTTTCTTATTTTTTGTTTCTATTTTCAATAGTTTCTTATCGTTAACATTTTTTCTTTGGGATTTAGATTTCTATCGTTGCCTTTCAAGATATTCACAACGAACGTAATTTAATTTAATCACTTTCGGGATTATCCACCCACGCTACTTTCAAAATCTCCCGCTTCGAAATTGATGGGATTAAGTGTTCGCCGAGAAAATCCAATTCCATGGTGAACAAGGAATTAGCAAAAGGAAGAAATCTTTAGAGATTCGAACGCATTATCGCGACAGTTTCCAGTAATTATCTCCGATAGGTCGGCAAAGATTCCTCGCTCCTTCGCGACCGTGACCTTACTGACATTTAATTTCTTAGATCGTCTACGGCTTCGAAACTCGCCCATACAGGATCTGCACGCGTGTCAGATAGCGTGCGCATTTCCATAATACCGAAGGCCGTCAAATATTGCAACTAGTCGAATGAATACTTTTGCTGCTTTATCTCGCTTTCATCGAATCTTTCTTCTTTCATTTCCACCTTCCTTGGTAGAATTTACGAAGAGTTCTACAAATGCGTATTTCGAAATTTCAGATGCTAAGTTATGTATATTTCATATTGCAAATATTTGGAATTTTAAGTTCTAAATTGCAAATTCTAAGTTTCAAATATTCGCAACTGCAAGTCTGAAATTTGAAACATTCTAAATTCCAAATTCCAAGTATCAAATATTCAAAGCTTAAAACTTGAAATTTTAATTATTCCATAAATTTCTTTTGATACCAATCACTGCTTACCCCTTTGATAGTCAACGCACTTATTAAAGATACGATCATTTAATTATTCAGTTTTCTATTCCACGTTATGGGTACAATGGCATTACTATTCATAGACTTCATTTTTACACCTCGTTTTAATTATATAGAACTTCTTATGATATCAATCAGTAATGAGCTCCGTGTCAGTCAACGTGTTAATTGAATTTACCGCGATCGAGGGAAAATAGTGGCGCGGATAAAAGCTCGCTTTCGACTGATTTATCGGTGAGCTGAAACTCGAAAGGAGTAGTTTATGTACTTATGGATAGGGAAAGAGGAGAGCACCTTCTTGCTCACAGCTGATTACAAAGTCGAGAGATGATATAACTGGATTTGCAAGTTGTCACGGTGAAAGAGTGAGAGGCGGACGGGAAAAAAGAAATGGTGGGGGAGGCCATTATTGTTCAAGGGCGTCAATGTACCGATTGAATTTAAAATGCTAATCTGCATCGTAGAGAAATGGTGATAGGATGAATTTGCGCGCGAACAACAGTTACGATTTCAAGTGGGATCAGTTTATCTTGTTAAATTTCTTTTTTCAATTAGGTTTCCAAGCATCTAAGTTTCCAAATTTCGAAATTTAAAATTTTTCAATTTTTCTAAGTTCCTATTTCCCTGGTTTCATAATTGCCCCAAGTTTCGAATTTCCCTGATTTCCCAAGTCCCAAGTTTTCAATTTCTATATTCCCAAGTTCCAATTTCCCAAATTTCCTAGCTTCTAATTTCCCCAATTTTCAAGTTTCCATCTATCAAATTAAAATTCAGTCCTCAAAGCACAAATAAAACATTATAAAATTAAGAATTGCAGTACTTGCACACGTTTGTTAACGAAGGTTTTTGAACACAATTTCCACCGGTATCGTGACAGCACAAGGCCAAATATGAAATATCTGCGAA